GAGAGAGAGAGAGAGAGATATGAGTGATGATGCATCCCTTGCCACATCGAAGTCATCGTGCTAGACCCAATCTGGATACGTAGATGACGAGGACAACAGCTGATACACCACATACATCTATTTCTTATGATTTTCTCTGTGAAGTGAATTCTAATTTATTACTTAAACTTTGTGTGTTCTATTTATACATCAAATGGTTCATTCCTTGACTGAAAATAGTCGCTACCTATAAAAGGAACAGTTCCGGAGCAGTTTGGACGCAGCTGATGAACTCCTTTGCAACTGCAGAAACATTTTACATTTTGTACTGTCCCAAGCACATTGTTCCTGGCGGTTTTCCCACGCATAACTACCAGACCATCAAACTAATTAACTCCCTCACTGCTGTTGATGCCTGGCGGACATACCTTGTTAAACAGCTGGAGCTCCGTCTTTGGCGCTCCAGAAACAAATGTTTGTTTCCCTGTTTGGGAGACAAACAGAGGCTGCTGAATTTTTCTCGAGCTCTTTAACAATGGCTACGTTTCCATGGCACAAGCTAAGCCGATTTTGATAAATGGATTTACTCCATCATAGCATTTAGGCATAATTTAAAAATGTAAATATAGGATTAGGTGCTAGCTAAAACCATATATACGCTCATTTTTTTGCATAAGGTAAATAGTTTCCGAGAAAAACGCACGTGGAATTTCGCTAAATCGATTTAGACGTGTCATGGAAACGTACTGAATATATATGCAAGAGGACCCGAAGCAATTCCTCTTTAGAACCCTCTTTAGAAATGAAATACCTCTGCATACATTTCCTTCTATGCCTCTGACACTTAACCTCAGATTCTTCAGATTCGTGGTTTCACCAAATTAATCTTGGTTGCACTCATCCTTTTTCCTGAGGAAGTTCCTAAGGAAGACGCTTCAATTCAGATAAGCTATTGCGTCCAGATTTCACCTACCTGTGGATGCCATCCCATCCGGTTGTACCTATTGATTACAGCCCACTGTACCATGTTGTACTGCAAACTTACCACGGCATGCGACAAACTCATGAATCACCCCGAGGCTCTCCTTTCTATCTTTCCCTCCTTTCCCGCGGAGTAGCGCGCTAGACTTTCTGCTCGCCCACAGTCGAAACGGGAGCACCCACGTCCGCAAACAGTCCCGAGTTTTCTCACGCGCTGCACCGTTTGCACCTTCGCCCGGAGGGGAGACCGGGGGCGGTGCAAGTGGCCAGCGAGCGACTGCCTCCCCCGCCTCCTTCCCACCCCTGTTAGGCTAATCCGTCACTGAGCGCATCCTCACCGTTTCCTCAATAGCGAAACGACAACGCTCCCCCTCTCCCGAGCCGAGGCATGGACCAGGCGGTCCATGCCACAACTTCAGCTCAAAGTCCTTATCCCGGCCCCGCACCGGCCTGGATGTGGGTCCCATACAATGGACCGTGCTCAGCCCGTAGCTCGGCCCGGCACCAGCCTTTTGGTTTGACCTCAGGCCGCACCTGTAGTTCCGGTCCAAAGTGCCGCCTATATAAATCAGTTCCTTGTCGCGCCTGCCCAATTCCACCAGCCGAGGTGAAAAGGAAAGCGTCGTCCGTCTGCCCGCGTTCCTCATATCTCGGCGGTTGTAACGGGCCTCTCACAGCGGCTGCACAACAGCTGTGCGTGATAGCTGTCCAGCAGTCAGTGACGACCGAAATTGGCGCGGATCAGTCGGCGATGAAAACCGGTGACGGTCAGCGAGTGACCGAAATTGGCGCCAGTGACCAACGATAGGTCAGCCAGTGACCGAAATTGGCGCCAGTGACCAACGATAGGTCAGTCAGTGACCGAAATTAGCGTTGGGGTGACCAACGATAGACCAGCCGGCAGCCAGCGACCGAAATTGTCGGTGGGTGTCCCGATGGTGGCTAAATGCCGACAAAATGAGGCGGATGATTTGACAAGCTCGATGAGGTGTGAGCGATGTGAGCGATTCACACTTTGGATAACTCGCCGGCTAATCGATCAGAATGACTTTGAATGGGTACGACTGAAAGCGAAAGCGCCTCTGCATTGAAGTCTGTCATTTGTCTAGCTGTCTCAGCAGGTGTCTCTCATTCTTACTTGCCCACTTATTGAGTGCTTAGGATGAGGCACCACCAATCTGAAACTGCCGACAATGCCTCCAAGGAATGCACAAAAATTAGCGCCTGGTGTTGCAAGATGCACCATGCGCGCCTAGTGTCACGCCGTCAGTAAAAATGTCTCCTTCAATTAGCACCCGTGGGCCGTCCAACAATGGCTTGGAGAGACTCGCGGAGTCGAGTGCGCACCACCGGCGGCACGGCACATTGCATGCGGTAGTGATTAACGTCAGTGAGTTTTTTTAACACGCCGCCGCGCCGCTACACAGGCGACCGCCGAACAGCCTCAGGCAGGGAGGATTGTATGTATGGATGTGCATACACACATGCTGTCCAGTGAAGCCATGATGACATAACCCGCGTGACAGCGGCAGTGAAGTGATCCACCGTGACTGATTCTCGACACGAGCGGCGCGTGGTCACTGATCTGTGATCCTGTTATGTGATCCCACTCACACACGCACGCCATGGGTGTCAGGAAACCACCCGGGCCCATCGGACGGCACGAGCGGTGGTGACCAGCGCCCCGTGACCCCAGTGGCGACAGAGGCATCCGGTGTCCAATGGCATAGAGCTCGTCACGACAGCGGGGTCGGTGTCTACTGTCCAGTGACAGCGCGTCACGACTGAGGACTGGCACACTCACGGACGACCACAAAGGTCACGATTGGATCGTGACGACGCGGCAACACGGCTCGTGACGCCGTAACGCCACGGGTCGTGACGATGAGTTGGCCGTGAAACGGGGGATAAAAGAGTTGTTTGCTACCTTTGGTAGCTGTGTTTTGTTACGCATTCTTTATCGTTTGGCAGTGTTTTTCGGTGCGGTAATTGCAGAACAATTATGTCAGCTGATTTTGACATAATTGTTCTGCAAGTTTTTTTTTCAATTACAAGATAATGTTTGACTTAGTTTTTGCGTGATTCATCGGGAGCCTTATAAAGGTAAAAAGCACATCCTGAACATCAAAGATCGAGGACTGTCAACTAACTGCTTATCGAAGATAAACGTTTTTAGCTGTCAAAGAACCGAGGTATGCAAAACAGAGTGACCGCAAAACCCAATCGATTGTGCCACATAGGGCTCCGAATTCGGAGCTGAAAACACCTGCTGTGCCGGCCCCTCATTTTGGACTGACGACCACCGCCGCAGTGAGCCGCGCACTCCCATTTAGGAACAGAAGACGACCTCTGACCCGTCTGTCCAGCCCTGCCCCTGTGCGTGAGTGAAGCCCCGCCCACCAGTCACGCACCGCATGGGTCGCACGCGGGTCACGTGTCTCGCGTCACCAGGTCGGCGGACCGGGCTGCCGGCCCGTCGGTGGCAGAGCTGCGGTACGGTGAAATGCTGCTCAACTTTGATAATTATGCAACACTCATGTGTTTGCCATTGGTGAAAAGCAAACGACCTCAACTGTGATAAAGGAAAAGCAATGCCTCAGAAGTGACTAAGGAAAGGCACATATACATAGGTATAATGTGTGTTGGGAAGTCTTGTAAAATCACAATGCATCAAATTTTCTTCAATAATGACAGAAAAGAAAATGCTTGCAATTAGTAAATGCATCACAAAGAGACTATAACCATGCAATTTGATACCCAGCAAAGTTTGGTAGATACATCATCGGACACAACTTGGTGGGTTGTTTTGGTCTTGGGAATGAGCCTGCCTGAAAGGAGAAAGGAGAGTAGAATGGGAATGTTCAGATAAGCGGACTTAATATGAACGTCTGGGTGCGGAGGATGATTCAGTACCATTTTATGCTGGCATGGCATGCCGCTCTACATTACCGAATAATTGGTAAAATGTCACATACTCTCCAATAAAAATCAATTATGTTTTAAGTAAGAATTCTTATCTAGTTTAGCCTCTTATCTTACATAACCTCTGCCGTAGTCGAGTGCCGCAACTATCATGATGTCTCAAGAGACAATTCGTCCTAACATTAAAAAAAGGTATGCGTTATTCGGTGTAAATGTTTAATGTGCCATTGCAAATGCTCTGAAAAGAAAAAAATAAAGTTATTCAAATCACATAAAACTGACTGGCGAAATCAAGTAATTTACATTTGTGAAGTAAGAATATGAAAAAATGCAAATAAAATGTTTTTTTTTTCCGGTAGTTCAAGGCACGGGCACAGTGAGCAAACAATTTAACCCAAAAGTTTTCCCGAAAACAAACTGTGGCTTGCTTTCTTTCATATTCATTGGCATTTCATTTTCATTTTCATTTCACTTTCATTGCCTTCTGTTTGTGGTTATAGGAAGGCACTGCTTTCGTTTTACTCTACATACTTTAATGGTATACCCCAGCTCTAAAATTCATATCGGCATTCGACGGCACCACCTGGGTGGCTGCTTAAGTTTGTTAGGCATTGATCGTACAATTGCGTCCACCTTTGCTTGCAAGAAAAAAGGCATTGATTTTACGTTTAGTTTGAGCTTTCATGTTTTATATAATTTAGTAGAAAAATATCAAACACTCAGTATCACACTGATTTAGCTATCCGTAGTTCTTTCAACGCCTGAAAAGGCTACTAGGGAATGATGGAGACAGGAAACAAATCCCACTTTTATGACAAATGCTTATGAAGCACATGCGATAACCGGCCAGAGTGTGGACTTGGCTGGTTAAGACGTTCACCTACCTACCAGTTTCAGCCTCTTTCCAATTACCCACTAAACGCACCTAGAAACCAGTAACAAACCCATCCCGAGAACCCACCATAACATATGGATGTCTTATTTCAATTGATGAAATAACACATGGCATATATCTTGTATCAATTATCTGAAATCACCCAGTGCCAAAGCTAGTGCCATTCCCATCCCGAGGACCCGTCAGTGGAGCAGTCAGCGCCAGCGCCATCCTCTGAACTCACCCAGTGCAGGAGCCTCATGTCCGCAGTGGTGCGGCCCGGCTGGCCGCTGGCGCTCGGAGCTCGGTCCCGCTCGTCGGCAGGCTGGGCGGCGCGTCGGCTGACCCCCGGCACCGCTCGTCGTTCGGTGGCCGGCACTGGCGGAGCGTCGCAGCGTCGACGGCGGCGGCTCGCGACGGTGTGCGCGCCGCTGGACAGGCAGATCCACGGCACGGGCGCCTTCTCTCTCTCTCTCTCCCACCCCGAGTGGGTGCGACACTTTCTCCGTCTGTGGGCTCGGCGGCGGCGACCGGCGACTAAACGCTGCCCCAGCCGCCCTGGGCGCTTTATAGCCGCGGCCTTTCGATCCCCCTCCCGCAGGTCGGGGGTGGTTAGTCCATCACGGTGGATGGTTAGGCGGGGTCAGGTCACCGATGCATGCTTAGTGCTTACAAGTTAGGCTGAGTCTTTGCCAAAGAGGCTGATAGAGGTCATATATCCACCCCCCCAAAAAAAAAAAAACACTTACGAAAAATCGAAGCCTTAATCCAAATTCAGCATCTATTTACCTACCTTGGTTTGCTCTTATATAACGAGGTCTTATTCGACCACCCATTTGTTTGTGCCCGAACCAAGACCATCCAAACTCCGAAGTGCATGAAATGGTAAATTCACACCCTCCTTATTGGGCCCAGTGCTTAGGTCTTTCCTTTTGAACATTGCGTGAGGTCTTGAGGTCACTTGCTATCAGCTCGGAGTTGCTCGTTGAAACTCTTGAGCAAACTAACATGGAGAGTTGAAACTGGAAAAAGCACAAGTCTCCCACAGACAACACATTTCTTCGATTTTGGTCGAGTACCTAAAACTTTTTTTATTTAACGTCATAGCCCAATGACCGGACTTGTCGGTACCTAAACGAAAACTTTCAAGTTATGTGGACAAATATTAAAGACAAAGTTTTTTGAAATCTTAACCCGAAACTTATGCGTTTTTCCTAGATATCCCCTAAAAACCTGATGGTGTTGCATCACGACTTTTCCAGCCAGGGTTTAACAGCATAAATGGATCTTTGCGTCTCATCACCACACGGGAGTGGCAGAGAGACCGATTCTGTTGGCACGCGGGTGGTTTGACTAGTAATGGTCACGTTTTCACGCTCCACGCCGTCTCTCAAGCCTCCCTTACCTATCACAATTCCACCGCGTGAGAATATGGAGACTAAGGCTCGTGCGCATGCATTAGGCGCGGACGACCGCGCAGCATCGAGATCTCTCCGTTAGATATAATGATTGGACACTGAGTTGCGGTAGGTTTCACGGCAAGAGGCGCGCGCTAATTGTTACCGACATAGCAACACATCACATTCACCTTTACCATGATAATCACCATTCACCAGTATAACGCATTTTGGGGCGACTAACGGAGCGAGCGAGAGGGTGAACCTCGCACGTGCGAAATTTCAAGGGGTTACCTCCAACTGACTTGTGCACGGCACCCTACTAACCGGTCTCTAGCGATGTGGCCAAATTTGAGCACAATCGGCCCAGCCGTTCTCGAGATCTGGAAATCGGCCCAGCCGTTCTCGCTTCGTGCAAAACTTTTGCGCGGCACCCTGCTAACTGGTCCCTAACCGTGTGCGAAATTTGAGCGCCATCGGTCCAGCCGTTCTCGAGATCTGGAAACGACCCCTGCACGTGCGCACGTGCAGCAGCAGCACCCCAACTCTGGCACATGGATATGCATTGCCTAGCGGGTGCCTGCCTACCTACATGACAACTTCCAGCGCAATCAACCAAGTAGTTACCGAGATATTGCAACTATTACAAAACGGACACCTCTTCGTTTTGCACGTGGCACGTGCATAAGGAGTCACCCACATGCATCGGGAATAGTCAAATACTTGGTAGAAGGAATGAAGCTACCCTACAAAAATTACCGCGTGTAAATCGGTCAAGTGGTTGCTGAGATATACATAAGCCTCGCAAAAGCGTGACCACGGCCGGCCGGCCGGCAGGCCGCTCATTACTCAGAAATTTCCGTTAATCTAAGGAAAGACTACGCTCGCTTCGCTCGCTCCGTAATTACCATTCAGAAATATTTGTTTAGAGCAGCCCATTTGAAAGCCGCAAAAAAAACTAACATAATGATTTATGCAAAAAAGAAAGAAAGAAACGTACTGCTTCAAATAACCAACTGCTTCCTTTCTTCTAACTATGTATATCCTTCCTACAAGTTCTTTTATCCCCTGATCAATCCAGCGGATGCCTCATCCCCCCTCCCCTCCTCGCCCCGCGGCGTGTTTGTCCCCCGCGCGCCGAGTAGGTCACACGGCGCCGGTCACGAGTCGCCTCGTCATGATCGTACTACCGCACGATCCGCAGTAGCGTCGGTTCGTCCCTGACCGGCCTGCGGGGCTCACACCGGAGGGTCAGGTCACCACAATGGACGGTCGGGCTCGCCAGCTCAGCCCACACGCGGTCAGAGTGTGCCACAAGGACCATTCACCGCGCCATCCGAAAAGCGGCGTCAAACGAAACGTGCTGAGTGATAAGTTGTCCGAAGGTCGGCGGGATAGGCGTTTTTGATGTCTTGCCGCTTTGTTGCTTTAGTGGCTTTTGTGTCGCGAGGAGTGAATTAACAATGAGGAACTGTTCACAATAACCGAGTTTGATGAGTATTGCGTAAGTTTTACCTGTATTAGTGCTATTTGGGGGATGTTACAAAACTTCGGGACAGAATGCGCTCGGATAGCAGCGTGCATCGTTATCTTCAATAAGTTGGAAAATGTGCTGATCAGCCGTTGTTTGCATGCAGACGTAAAATCATATTGCACAAATAGACCTCGTGCAACCAACAACAGCTCTTAGCTGTGAGCATCACATTAAGCATATGCAGCACCGAAGTGATCAATTTTAGTGCTCGAGGCACAGTTTGGCTGTACTGCATCACCCATAAAGGCACGATCCGGGCTCATCGGTTCAATAATCAGACGTTTGGCGTCGGGGTACCGCCTCTCTACACCGCTCGTTTGAACTCTTCCTGGCGCCTCTAATGTCTGAGACCATGTCCGGACGAACTGAGAAGCGACACCATGTATCCCGTGACCCGACAACCCCGATATCGCGCATGTATACCCCGGTACAGGCGGTTACACAATACAAGCATGTGCTTTCAGTTGCTCACTCATAAATCTAGCCAAGCATCGATTAGCCAGAAGATAACTGGAGCTGAGTTATGTGGAATAAGCTGGCACATTTGTCGTTGATGTTAGCAAGAAGGAGCTACGGCGAGACGGCTGGTCATTGCCTATGTTCGATATGAAGTTGACTGTTGATTGGTCATATATCACAGATGGAAGACAAGCAAAATCATATTCGTAGCTAAACTGTGCTCACGTTACCTTCTTGCAATATATAAGGAATTACCGAGAGTTTTATTGCTTAAAGGGACCCTCCCACCTTAACATTAGATTTAAATTGAGATAGCCAAAATGGGGTCCCTGGCTCACAATTACCGGTTTCGGCACTCACAACATCGAGAAATGCCTTAAATCGGAAATATTGAATTTCAAAATTGCAGCATTTTGATTCAGAGGGGCTAATGCATAGGAATACCCCTCTGAATGTGTGACGTCAGCGCAGATATCTAACGATTTTTAAATGTTTGACTAAAACGTTTTGTAGCACGCGGTGGTATATGCTGCTTTGCGCGCAACAAATGCCGCACTTTCAAATAAAGTCGCTAGGAACAGCGGAGATCCCAAAAAGTAAACAAAAGTTAAAGTCTAATATCTTGAAAACCGGTGAATATTTTTCGATGAAATTTGGTAGATATTCGTTTTTGCTCTTTCTGAACCGAGCGACATCACTTTCATGCCAATTCATTAACTTTTTTGAAGGTGGGAGGGTCCCTTTAAAAGGACTATCCCACCTTCTAAAATGTTGTTAAAACCAGTTAAATTGTGCCCGACTTTATTGATTGGATGACCAGGAACACGGTTCTGGCATTTGTTTTTCATTAAACATCTTAGGCTTCCCATATTCTAAACACAAACTTTCAAATATGTGACGTCACAGCCCAAAATTTCAAAGACCAAGTTTTCAGCGATTTTTCAACGAACAAACCCATTTTAATCAGAATGACTAAACGAGGTGACGTCACACTAACGGTCGCTCCATGTTGAAGATAGGGCCTTGTACAAGGCCCATTTTCAAATGAAGGGAACGAATTTCTTCAACACCAAGAGGCCGCGGGGGTTGCAACCTAGATAGATAGTGGTTTCTGAACCTCGCCGCAAACTTGGCTATCTCAAACCCCATGTTAAAGGTGGGATAGTCCCTTTAAAGAGTCCAAAAGCTTTGGAAAACGAAAAACAATAATACTACAAAATGGAACATGACTAGAACACTATAAGGTATTATCTCCTAAATAGACAATAATGAAATGCAAAGAAGTCGTATTTTATGAGCATATTTAATTGACCGAATCTTCAATAGAATCTGAATAAATTGACCAAATAACACAATTCGAGCATATACGATCACATATCTTTGTCAACCGATCGAATATACGAAGATCGGTTGAGAAAGATCTGCGATCGAATATACCCGAATTAATTGTTATTTGGTCAATCTATTCAGATTCAATTGAGGACTCGGTCAACTAAATATGCGCATAATCATCATGATGATATTCCTCACGACACTTAACTCTTTGAAGTCGGATTTTAACTCTTTATTGGATGAAGTAAATGGAAACATTTCCAGATCATTCTCAACCAGAATAATTGTCCACCACTCAACACACATTGCTTCATTTATTGCATTGATGAATCATGAATTCACTGAGATTACGAGTACCTTCCATTTCTTCAAATGATTTCTGGATGCGCCCAATTAGGCTTGGTTTTGATCTGCCAAGCCGCTATTGCAGTAACACTATTTCATTATGATATTAACATTGGCGGCATTTATTACTTTTCTGCCATGAGAACCGCACCAGGAAAACAGACACCCTCTGCCGACTTCGTTATCCACAATGAA